AGAGAGAGAGAGAGAGAGAGAGAGAGAGAGAGAGAGAGAGAGAGAGAGAGAGAGAGAGAGAGAGAGAGAGAGAGAGAGAGAGAAGAGAGAGAGCGGCCGTGAGGTTGCTGGGTAGTGTCGGTAGAGGCGACGTGGGGTGTCGAAAAGGCAAGCGACTGAGCGGAGGGAGGGAGGAAGGGAAGGAAGAAAGGGGAGGGAGGGAGGAAGAGCGTGGGGAGGACGAGGAAAGGGAAGCGACTGAGCAGAGGGAGGGAAGAAGAAAGAGGATTGGGGAGGACGAGGGAAGACAGCCGGAGGGAGGAAGGGAGGGAAGAAAGAGGAGGGAGGGAGGAAGAGCGTGGGGAGGACGACGAAAGGGAAGCGACTGAGCGGAGGGAGGGAAGAAGAAAGAGGATTGGGGAGGACGAGGGAAGACAGCCGTGCGAGCAGAGCGGCGGAAGGAGAGGGATCGGAGGACACAATACGTGAAAGCAGCGGATGTCAGCAGAGGAGCGTGTGGTCGGAGGAGCGCAAGGAGCACATGAGTGAAGACACTGAAGAGAAATGGAGGACAGGTGTGGTCGACGAGTAGGAAGGGTGCGGAGAGAAACAGAAGGGAGGAGAACGTGGAGGGCGGAACAGAAGGGAGGAGCGTAGGAGGAGGAAGGCAAAACAAGAAGCAGGCACATATTTGGAGGACAAAGGTCGGAAAAGGACGGAGGATGGATGGGCAAAGGAAGGAGGACAAGCCGAAGGGAGAGAGGAGCAACAACGATGAAAGCAGAACCACGAACCCTCACAATTTTTTTGCACTTTTTTTTTTTTTATAACGTCGAGATTGAATGACTGGAGGGTCGGGATGGGGACGCACGGGATTCAGTTATGGAGAATCGGGACCGGGGTATGACCAAGAGAGAGAGAGAGAGAGAGAGAGAGAGAGAGAGAGAGAGAGAGAGAGAGAGAGAGAGAGAGAGAACTCCGCTTCGAGAAGTTCGGCCCCCTCGGCGCTTCGCCCGCTAACGATCGACGTTCGATTTGCTCGCGCGCGCGCGCGCGAGAGAGAGAGAGAGAGAGAGAGAGAGAGGATCCATATTCGGGAGGTAGCCACCGGGATCACATCGGGACAGCGTCTCTACTTTTTTTTTCTTTTTTTTTTCCTTTC